TAGCTAAATTAGCTAGCACGCGATCTTAAAGCAAGAGTATTGTTGCATTACGTCTGCTTAAATACGCGAAAGCAGCAAAGCTCTCGCAATAATATAAAGCATACAGTTTCCTATTTTATCCTTTCTTTCTAGAATATTACACTGCATTCGATAGTTTTTAGCCTTCGAAAACCGATTAATCGCAATAGCGTTTAATAGAATAAAAGTTCACGTATTTATATTCTTAATGAGTACAGAATTACTAGATGAAACGATATTTATATTCTTACACGTAAAATCGTGCAGTTTTCGAAGGTTAAAGCGTTGAGTCTGGATAAAATAGACGAGTATGTTTTAATGGAATAAATATGTCTTCGTTGTATAAAATTGGAAATTTTCGGAAAATCTGTGTGACGTCAATCGAGATTACAATTCAGTGTACGGGCTGTTCCACTTCTACTGAATCAAATTTCAATAATTAATTTTACAAGTTTGAAGGGGATTTTTTCTTGTAAAAACTCTTGTTACTCTTTGCAGTTTCTTCGCTTTTCCGATATAATTTTCTTCGCAAATTTAAATCAATATAAAAATGTATAAATATATAAAACACGAGATTGTGTCTGTCACTTAAATTTGATTCGGTAGATGTCGTATATATTTTCTTTCAAAGACGATAGATTGTAGAGAAAACGACAACGATGTAGGAGGAAAGTAGCTAATCGATGTATAGCATCCCTTAAAGATACATTTTCGAAAAATTCCATATAGAAATGGACTTTCCGTAGGAATTGTACGATGAATCGTGTAATATCGTGCACACATAGTGCACAGTACAAAATTCCGATGTCATCGTCGAGAACGTATGTATCAAAATTGTACCATTCGAGCTTCATTTCGTTGGGCATGGGATCACTTGGGAAGAGTCTTATCTTTATTAAGACATTGCGTTCAGTGTCTCTAATTTTGTACATATGAAATACGGTAGATTGCGCGACGACAATGTTATCGATGACGCTCGCGTGTATTCATCTCGAGCTGTTCGTTTGTGCGTTGTACGTTTAGCATCGTTCTGCTTCGCGCGCGATGTTAATGCGACTGTAATACGATAGAAGAGTCCGTAATCGCAAACTTACATTATCCTCGATTTGTACGTAATGTTAATTTATAATCAGCTCGCTCGTAGTCAATTCATTTCATTTTAAGAAGCAACCTTTAACACGACGCTTTTTTTTTTTTATCGAGTTTTGCTGCTCTGATGAGGTGTTGTTGTGATATATGAAAAAGGACGCTTAAAGAAATGGCGATGTAGCGTTGTGACTTGGCATCAAAAGGCCCGAATCGTAATTTCTATCGTTTGAGTACCTTTCTTTATAAATCATTCGCACGTAACTCGCATCAGAGCATCGCGAACATATGCGCATATTCGTTAGCTGCTTCTTTTTTATATTCAACATTTTTTTCATTGGTGACGAGGATATTATCTAATATCTGTAAAGCGACGAGCGGAATGACTTTCATGTGATCGGCTTCAAGACTGGGAGAAATGCATTTTCTCGTTTACAATAGATTTTTCTTGATACTATATCCCGAGGAGGAAGAGTGCTGGACTACGTAGGATTTAAGTGCGAAAAAAGATATGTTGTTTTATGTTTACGCGTTGCAAAACTTAAGAAAATTTTCGAATATTGCTAAAGTCTGATCGATTCGATAAGTCGATGATTGTATGTAGATTGATAATATCTCAAAAAACATTCCCTTTTGTCATCATATTAATTATTCACTAATCGCACAATTAATTATCATTGACTGAATTAAAAGACACTACTTTTTCACGTTTATTGTAATACCATCGTGTTCCATTTGCACTTCCTTGCAGAATTGATGCTTGGAAGTTTTAATCATACGCAAAGTCAATCATTTATCTGACTATATCCTAATTTAAGCTAATGATATCGCGGCACGATTCTCGTGATTAGTTCGTAAGATATTTAATCGCGCGAGCATGCGTTTCGTCAAAATTGATGCCTGTTACTTCATCGTGCACGCCTATTAATGCATTAGAGTCGATTCGTTACTGCGATCGTAGCGTAAGAGGAAGACAGGAAGTTCTTAGAAATTGGTTGTGTGTGTAAGATACGCAAGAGAGACACGTGATTTATGCTGCCATTCGGCTGATATTCGCGTGAGGCACTTGTAAAAATATACAGTATCTGGCACTTTTCCGCCTGTCGTATTGAGATTGTGCGAACCAAAGTCTTTAATTTCCATCTTTTACCGAGGCGAGACGCAAATTCAACTGTAAAGAATCGTCAGAGTGAAACTTGCGATTATCTGCGGAGCGTTGAACTATTTTAATATTTTATATGGACTTTTGCTCTGTACATAGGGAATAGATTACTGAAGAAAGTATTATACTTATCGAGAAAAATAATTTAATATAGTAGCAAAATTGTGCATGAATATCGTTCACTGTTTCCGCTGATTTGCTGCGCATAATTTCAAAACAGTGTCATAAGTATGAATAGCGCTATGATGTCGTTTGACATTTCTGTCAGATTCTCAGTTCGAAATTTTAAATTTGCACATTGCACTTTTGAATCTGCACAAAGAAATTGACGATTAATTGCTTAATTGGCAATTTATTTCTCGACCGATTAAATAAATAATGCAGACGGTAATGTAATTGTAATTCGTAACTGTAACTGTTACTCCAATCAAACACCAAGTCGATCGTTTAATTAAATTCTATGCTAATTAAACGATATTCGCATATATTATGATATTACTTGTGTGTGTCGGCACGGCATCGTTTTGAAACTGAGATAAGTAGAACGCGTGCAATGTCTTCCCCCTTACATACTTATACGAGTAGCATACCGTACACTAGACGTGTTAAATGTTCGCAATACTAGAATTTCCAAGCGCAGTAATTTAGCAATATCGATCGTAATGACACGTTTATTTATCCAGCAGTTCGCTTCGTCAATATTGAGAGTACTTCGAACAAATTATTGCATGGATCTTCTCTTCGCGATAAGTGATCCCCGATATACATTTTTGCGACGTTCTCTATTTATCTAAAAGATTGTGATATATATTAAAGGAAAAAGACGAAAATTATCCTTATTTCACGCGAGAAGCAAATGTAATCTAGCTGAGAAATTGGATCTAAGGGCTATTTAAATGCTGTTAGAAAACTTAGGAATGTCAAACGGATGGATAGAATTATTTTGTTTCCGAAAAAACACAAGAATTTTGCTTCTTTACGAAAAAGACACACATATTTGCAAGATATTTTAATAATAACGGTAAATAGTAACTGCAGTGTTACCTGATGTGAATTTTTCTATTATTGTAAGGACAATAATTTTATTCGGAGCGTCGTACACAAATCGCGAAAAAGGAATAGATACATCAGCATAAAGGTATATATTAAATTTTTGAATCTAGAAGACAGATAAATTAGCGAAAAGTGTGAAGTAAGAAAAAAAGACAGTAATTAGAAAGTTTTAATCCTGAGACACAGACCAAGTATTAAGACGACTAGAGAGACACGTAGACACATTTTGTGTAGATTTCACATATCCATGTTCTGCTCCCGACCATTTCAAAGATGGAACTTTATTCTATAATTTTCACCAAAAAAAAAAGTAGCACAGTTAGAAGTATGGGTGTAAGACACATCAATGATTGCCTCAGTAATTCTACGCAATTGATAAACACGAATAGTTTGCACTTTCAGTATTCCTTGAATTCTAATCGGTTTGAATAAATATTCTTTTCCACCTAATAAAAAAATTCAGTTTGAACATTCAGAAAATAAAACATATTTCAAAAATTCTCGAAATTTTGCTCTACGTGACATAAAATTTATTTTTAAAGGAATGTTTAAGACGGACTACGGCAATTTCTTTAACGTTTTATGTATACTGAAGTTAAAGTCTCTAGCTGGGGCCAAGTACGCGTGGCTGCGCGCGTCCATATAATTAATAAAAATGTGACATATGGCTAGTTGAAAATTATGTGTGTTGTCTATGTCTAAATTGTCTTTTATCTTCGAAACAACTCATTTTTCTATATCGGAAATATTTCTTCAAGTCTAAAAGTAGCGCGACGCACGATTGTACGTGATTGATAATCCACTACGTAGAGTAAAAACGTGCGTCCTATATATGCAAAGTATCGTACACCCATACTAGCAGTCTTCGAAGAATCCTTTTGTGCAGACATGTACACGCATAAGTGCTAGGACAATTAAATACAGCGATAACATGTACCTGTACACATCGACCATATATTGATGGTTTGCCTCTACATACGGATGCTTAAGTTCCAAATTCCCAATTCTTGCACATTTGAAAGTTCAAAATCGATACAGCGAACGTGTAGTGAAACAGTAATAGCTATTTATTCCTTAGCCTTCAACCGTCCCTCGGATTTATTTAGATTAAATTCAACTAATCAGATTTAATGAATTAAACACTCTTTAGAGGCATTACACACCGATATATCGGTTTTTTTTAGTCAATAAACACAAATGAAATTTACGAACGTAACATTGGACAGATTAAACTTATGAATATTCATTGAATAAGGTTTTCAGGATTCCAGTATATTTTTCCAAAATTTTATTATGCGCTAAGATTCTTAAGTAATTCTATATTTTACGATTATCACGTTATAATTAAATTATATCAAAAAATGATTGAAAAAGAATTTTTTAAAGAGCCGAGATATGTTTTATACAAGGGTTTGAGTTTATCAAAATACAAATGTATTATATTTCTGGTATTTCCAGAAGACACATTGGTTGAAAGAAAACCACTTAATCCAATAATTCAAGGGATAGAAGAAGACTAAGCACATGCATCTACGGCATTATTCTCGATCAAGATGGTGATTAAAAACACATGTGCGTTACGTTTCGAGTGTGACAGCAGAGATATAAAAAAATATTTTGAGAGGCAAATTCGTAAATTACATAAGATGGATAAAAAGAGAAATATATATATATATATACATACAACATATATATACATAAACATAAATAAATATATTTAATAAAATTCCTTAACATATTGTAAATTTGAAGAGATATTCAATTAATCTAATAGGACGGATTCCAATAATTTTGTTAATTAGCCATGGTGGTGTTGGAAATACGAATTGCCGATATATCAATAACCATTAACCAAAGCCGTAGCGACAGATAGATAACGATGGAGGAATAAAATTATTCTTACAACGGGAATTTCAGGGGGAGCGAGAGAGCGAAAGAGAGATATAACGTGTTACGTCGTACAGAGATTTTAGGGAATAAGGAGCTTCTACTGTATAAAATTCTCATTAGATGTTACTCTGTTACATTTAACCGTCATAATATATTTATTTAAAATACTGCGTAGCGCTTTTTCCCCAGGGTGAAACAAATTTGCCGAAGTACAGATAGCAAAAGTTTGAAAAAAGATGATTCTTGGTATCTATAAGTGTATCTATAGATATGTGAAAGACTCGCGAAAGAGAAGTGGACATTAATTTATTCTTTATAGTCGAGAGCTGCGTAGCACGGCGGGAGAAGAATAGAGGATTTTCTTATGAATATCAATTGAAACTGTACTAGTGACACTAAGTCTGTGTAATTACGAAAGTTGTATATAATGTGTATAACGTATGATATATGTTACTTTTACGTTCGCCGAGCCTTTGTTTTAGTCATTTTTATATAAATACAGTATTGTGAAAATAATTTATGATTATAAACACGTTTGATTTACCTGTATCTATAAGAACGACTAGCCAAACTTCTGTAAATAGACCTTCTCGTAATAAAATTTATCTGAGGAAAAATATAGTTGAAGATATATGGCGTTCGCAGTTATTTCTATCATTCACGTTCAATGCAAAATGCGCGAGGAAAATTGTATTCAAAAATTTTTTGAACGCAGCTATTCTTATTATATAATAGTTTGTACTTATCCAAAAGTTGTTGTATCTTGTTGCTGCCAGTCCTAGTTGAGAAATGGAGGATACAAAATTGTCGAAGGTTTTATGAAACGTTAATACACAGTAGTGACAAATGTATGAATTATTTTCTCATATCAATTTCAATTAAAAAGGTGCAGTTATCTGGAAATAAAGCAAAATTAGAAAAATAAGAATAAAATCTGAATCAAATAAATATTTAGAAATTTTGTACCTTATAATAGTTTATGATCTGTTCAATGAAACACAATATGAAATGGTTTCATAAATGCTTTGTTTAATTAAAAACTGTTTCTTATATATTCTATATAACATAAGTAATATCAAACAATACTTAATATACACATCAACAGTCTATAAGTAAATATTAATTGAGAACATAGCATAATTTTTTAAGTTCTTATGAAGTACAACACGAGCGCGACTCTTTTATCATTACTTACACGTTAACATTAAATGAGATATGGATTCGTTATAGTATAATGGTATCACGTTAACGCTATTCCAGGCACATGTGAAAAACTTCAAAATAGAACTCCAGTTTGTTCTCCAATTTCTAACAATAAGTTATATGAAAAAAGCGAAGCAAACGCTTTTACTTTCATCTATCGATAAAAATGATGAGAAATATCGAATTAAAAATATTAGAGAAATTTTGTTTAGACACTCACCTTTTTACAATTTATTTTAGTCAAAATGTAAAATAACATTTTTTTATTGTATGCATAAATATTTTTATCAAATTATTAATTTTAATTTTTATAAAATACGAGTAAAATTATTTTTCTAATCAGTATCTTGAAACCCAGATGATGCTCCAAATTTAACGAGCTTCATTATTTTCGTATAAAATCAGTGAATAAAAAATTTTTATTTTACAATTGAGACAAATGCTGCGGTCGCCTGCTTCTAAGAGCATTTGCTTCACTTTTATCCACAAGACCCACACGGCCTATGACTCGAAATTTCTATTGGCTTTCGATACGTAACTCCTCGATGCGTTTACGATCACGTCTCGACGTGACTCTGCAGCTGGCCCACTATCTTCCGCACCCAGCCTGCTTGGCTCTGTCCCGCGGAGACATCTCTGTCCGTCTCGATACTCGGTGAGTCATTCTGCAATTGTTGAGCCATGTTCACCGACAACCTCGCGGTGATTTTAGTCTCCGAATCACCGACGGTGTGCCCCTTCGCCAACACCGATTTTATCTTCAAGAAATTCGGTTTCTGCGCGATGCTCGGCTTGCACCTCACCGAAGACACCAAGGACGATTCTTGCTTCTTCTTAGCGGGCACAGGCGGCGCAATTTTCATTTTCGCCGCCGACGTCTTTACCGACGCCGTTGTCGTCGTCGTCGTCGTCGTTGTCGTCGGCTGTCGCGTCACGAACACGTCATCGACATCGCTAAATATTGCACTGTCCCGGAACGCCTCATCCACATCGGCGTCCACGTAATTCTCGATGGTCTCGAAGCTCCTCTCGTAGAAGCTGTCCGTCTCGCTTTCGCGACGTTCCACGTCCTTGCCGCTGCTCGTCTCCTCGTCCTCCTCGCAATTCCTATCCTCCGCTTCCTCGGTTTTTTTTATCTGATTGACGTCGCCGGTGGAAGCCTGCATACGTTTGCTCTCGGCGAAGAGAATCGTTGGATCGGCATAGTCCGACTGCGCGATTCTGGCGCCCAGGCTGGAACTACCTTGCTTGTAGTAAAGTTGAGGAACTCGTTGATCGGCGATTCCGGTGCTCGCGCAGCCTACCAGCTCCTCCACATCGGAGGACGGTTCCCTCGCCTGCTGCTTCGCTTGCTTGGTCCGCTTCTTCAGGCCCTTACTTCCGGCGCTCATCGAGCGGAAGTAGCGTGTCCGTTCGAGCTCGTCGTTGCACTCTAGCGTTTCCGTGCTCATGGTGTTCCTCAGACGACCCTGTAGACGGCTGCCCGCCTTGGAGAAGACGTTGCGGAAGATGGCGCTACCGTTCGTCCGATAGATCTTGTGATCCGGATGAATGTTCGCGCTGTGGCTGGTGGACATACGCATGTCGGAGTACGCATCGTCGGTGATTCGTGTGTCCTCCAGCGAGCAGAAGAAGGTGGACGAGCTGGAGCTCGTCGATGTAGCCGGCATGGGAAACTTGGCGATCCTACCTTCCGGCTGGCACGTCGACGCGTACCTCTCCATGTCCTCCAGATTGATCTCCGCTGGCTTGTCAGACGCGATCGTGAACGGCCGCTCGCTCATCGGTTTACCATCACGCTGCAGAAATCGCGACTTCGTCACGCTCGTCGGCTGCGAGTTTGGACTTATCTGGAAGCTGCGCGGCAGCGAGCCGCACTTCGGCGGCGACGTCGGCAGACCTTCGCACAATTTAGTAAGCCAGACGGCAGGTTGAGTCGGACTGTCGTTGCCGTCCTTCGTCGTTTGCAGACCATCCCAGACGTGCTGCAGATTGTCGTAGTTACCGAAACCCTTGGATTCGACGTTCGTCACGTCGTTTGCATCGCTCCTCTCGTCGTCGCGTCGTTCCGATTCGTCCGTTTCTATTCGGTCTGTCGTCGTGGAATTGATCTCCTTTCGCTCCACTCGATGATTCGACTCGCACGTCGACTGGGATGGTTGCGTGGTCTCTTCGTTGCTCGTCGACGACGAGTTCTCGCGGATACGCAGTGCTGTTTTGATCACCTTGCTCTCGGTGACGATGCTTTGCCGTTTGAACGACTCGAAGAGCGCCCGTTTCTCGTGAATATGATTCGCCTTGCCGTTCCGCGCGGTCGTTGTCTCCGCTGATTTCTGGGTGGTCTTCAGATTGTCGTAGAAGAGCTGCAGCGGCTGCTGGCTGTCCCGCGCTGGTGCCGAGGACAGCGAGTTCCACGCGTTGTTCGTCCTGACTAGACGCTGCTCCCGATGCATCGCCCGAGCGCGTCCCAATTTATTGTTATTATTACTGTGATTTGTCGAATTGGTGATATAATTAGCGTTCTCCGTATCACTCTCGTCTGACGTGTCCGCCGAGATGCGCTTATTGAAGCGCTGCTGTCGCACATTGATGATGCTGTTGGTTCGCTGTTTCTCCAGCAGCCTCTGGAACTCTCGGTTCTGCATGAGAATGTGGCCAACAATCTCCTCGACCGTTTGTGTCGAGGTAGCATGCTGTTCGTTATTATTGTCTTTGGCTTCGGCCGGTGGCGAAGAGTTCAACGTTGTCGTCTGATTGTCTTCCTCGATACGAATCTCCGGCACTTCTTCGTTCCTGGTTGTTGTAGATTGAGCATCGCCGGTGGTCTCCTCTTTCTGCTCTTCGTCGGACTGATTAAGGCACACGTACGACTGGAAACCTGGTTCTGATTTTCGTCTCCAGCCGGTAAAGCGATCCTTAATAGATTCGAACAGATTTGTTGGAATTGTAGATTTCGCTGTTTTTCATGTCGGATTATTGTATTCGTCAAAGTATCTCAATAGAGATCGCGATAGTAATCATTTTTATGATAATATATAAACAATTTCCACAAAATGTATCACATAATTTTAAATAAATGCAATATGATTGGATTCATTTATGTTGCAGCTTACATTAAAAAAGATCATCGATAAACAAGGTAAAAATATAATAAGTGGCTAAAATAATTCAGAAAATCAATTGATAAAGAACAAGAATAATTTTAGAGATATACGTTTTATAATTATATCTACACATAATGTCGAAATCATGAACTTACTTTGACTTTCGAAGTGCGTACATCCGAAGACCTGTTAAGAGGTTGCTCCCTGGAGTCATTAAGAGCAGCGTCTTCGTTATCGGTTTTACGTGACGACGCAGGTGAACTCTGCAGACATATAAGAAAAAAATTCATAAAATTTAGTCTTAGCAAGAGAAAGAAATTACGTGTGTTTCACTAAACCTCACCTCTATCGTAGCGTCAGATTTTCTGACACCCCTCTTGAACCTTTGCCTGAGACCAGTTTCAGATCTACGTCTTTCCCTCTCTTGTTTACGTTTCTCCAAATATTCCGGAGGAGCGAAATGCTTCTTCATCGTTCCTTTATCCGCCAACGCGTCGTCTGTTTAAAATTTTTGTGTCAATTTGCGTAATGATTAAAAATAAGTGTTTCAAATCCCGTCTGTACGTACCTTCTTGTTGCGTTTGACCTAATTGTAACACTAATTGTACCGCGTGCGAGGGAATAACCGCATTATAATTATCTAATATTACTCTCTTTATTTGTAAAGTCCATTCTCTCTTTTGTTGTAAATTGCGCGCCTAAAATGTAATTGTTAATTAAAAACATGGTCGTCTATGTAAGAATATTAAAAATTTTGATTAATAAAATAATGATTCTTACTTGTAATGTGTACTGCAACCGAGGATTGTCGAAAGGTATTACATGAAAGTTATATGGCTCGCCCGGGATACTTTCAATCAGCATTAAATTTGAACACTGAAAGCACGAAAAGAAAACTATTTTATCTCTCATAGTTGCATTTACTTTTTCAATAATTGATGTAAAAAGTGTCTAGAAAATTATGTTTAATACAATAGTGAAATAAATAAAATCTGCGCGCAACAATATGTTGAATATACGAAGGAAAATAAAAAAGAAATATTTAAGAAAAAATCCTTTTTGACTTTTTTTCATAAAAAAGGCAAAAGCAGTATAAATAAAAGAAATGAGAAATCACAGAAACGTACCATAATATGAGCCTTGTAAACGAGAAGACCATCTTCCTTCTTCTTCGTCAGAAGAAGCATTCGATCGAAGAGGAAGGCGTGCCTCGGACCCTTAGCTCCCTGCATCCTGAACCGACCCTCCGCGACCAATTCGCCACTTGTAGTTAGGTCTGGCCCCAGCCAACCATACAGAAGCGACTGAATTTCCTGGACGCGCACGGCGTGCTCGTGCCGCCTCTTCATGGCGTTAATGTGCTTCGCTATTCCAGTCATCGCGGTAAGGGCGGCCTCGATGGCGCTTCTGCCCTCAGTCTCGTTCTCCCTCGAGTCGCAATCGGCGCCGTACTCCTTCGACAGATTTTCCAGGAGCAGGTGATATTTGAGAATCCTCTGGACCGGCTTGAGAAGGAACGATCCGAGCGGCAATGCGTGTCCCAGTGCCGTTTGCCGTTCGCGAAAGGCGGACGCGGTCTCCTCCCGGCCCATCAAGTCGGTCAGCACCGAAACCGTTCTCGGATAATTGGTGCAGTACTCGGTGTACACTTTGAATCCCGAATTATGCTTGATGAACGTGTTCGCCACGCAAACCGGATCCAGCCCGCACTTCTCGATCTCCCGCAGAAATTCCCTATTAAACTCGAAGATGTCCTCGATATTGCTGAACAGATCACCGAGATGCAGCTGACGCGCGAACGACGGCGGATTGTCCTTCCAGAATATGAGGTAGCCCTGAATAACCTGGCGCAGATGATCGACGTATATCGCCTCCGTGTCCACGATCTCCAGAAGCACCCTCTCGACGGGATAGCGCGGCCTGTGGCACGCGGGATCCTCCTTCGCGCTGTCCCTCCTCGGGCCGTTGTCATTATTCAGAATCCGACAGCTGGCCTCGGAGACGGTCACGACGCCGCTGTCCGCGGAACCCTGCGAGCTCGCGCATGTGTCGGCCAGCGACTCGACGGACGCGAGATACGGATTCGCGGCGCCGGTGTTGCCCTGATTGCTGCCGCTACTCGACGACGTGCTGGATGCGATCGAGCTTCCGGAAAGCGGTCTACCGTTGTTCCTGCGTCGTTGATTGTACCTGAGCGGCGTGAGGCCGTTCGTCTCCCGCCTCTCGTACATCGGTTTCTCCGTCGTCTCGCCGTGATTACGCTCGTCTTCCAGCGACGTCATCGAGACAACCGTTTGCTCCAGCATGCTGTTATCAGTGGTGTCCGCGATCTCGTCGTACTCGGCGCTTTCCTGCTGCTTGTTCTTCAGATTGTCCTGATGCGTGGACTTGGCTAGGTCGCCGTTCGTGCAGAGCTGGCCGAATATGGAGTCCCGATGGGCAGCCGGCATCAGGCTCAGACGCTTCTGCAGAGCCGCGGGTATGCCGCAGGACGACGGCAGGACTTCAACGCCGTCGTAGCCACCGCCGCGGCGCGCCAGCTCGTCGAACATGCCCAGCAGCTGCGGCACTAAGTCCTCCGTGCTTGTGCCTGTACACAGAAAATTCAAATTTGTGATTTTATCATTTCATTTGTTTTCTCGAGAAGCGAGATATATGAAATTAAATATATTTAGGAATATAAATAAAATATTTGCAACTTTTCAACTTAAACATAATAATGAAGAGATATCAGCGCTGTGTTAAATGCCGACGAAAGACTTAAAGAGAGCGATAATTAGGTTCAACTTTCAGTGTAGATTAATTTCTGTGATAACTACCGGAAAGACCGGTAATTGCTTAGCAACGTTTCTTGATAACTTATTTCAATATTAATGAAATCTTCAAATACTTCTCGGAATGCTCGACGCGTTTGCAAACGTCATTAAATAATTCGTCGTGCGAATTATTTTAATGTCCGTTCGTACAAACTCGTCGCGAATCATTAATATTACAATTGGCAAGTGGAACATCGGATGCGCCAATGAGAGAAACACAGATGAAATTTGTTCTTATTAACATTAATGATAACCTTCAATTTGTGCGAGATGGAGAATGATTTCGTTTCACGCGAAAACGTTTCCTTTCGAATAATTGTTTCCCGAGCGTGTTAGAGATTCTCAGAATACCGCTTTGAAATTACGTCTTTCCTGGCACTCGGCTTGATTCATCGAAGCGACGGTAATTAATAAATGATCGCGAATATGCGCACTGTCATAGCAACGTAATGGAAATCCATTTTTCTCACTCTGCGCCATTGACATATCGGAGAAATTATTCTGCGTCCTTCGATATGTATCACTAAGCGCATAAATAATAATTAACATCCTTAAACGAGTTTATGCATCTTATACATTTCCGTATTTCAATCTACATTTTAAACAATTCTTTAATAATTTTCAACAACTCTTTAATGACATATAAATGATCGATCTTTTCTTGATGAGAACTTAATGACACATTTTGTAACGTTTAAGTACTTAATATTAAATATAAAAGATACAAATCTTTCATCAAAATAAAATACATTTAAAATTAAGTAAAGAATAATTTATATATATATATTATTTCTCGGCATCTGAAAAATTCAATTTGTTTCTTTTCCGCTTTCGATTATTATTTATAGCCGTATAAAATTTTTGAAGAAAACAAGCGGCTGCAAATTTATCGAAGAATGCGCTGTTGAACATTAAGAGACACACTAGGTATAAAACAGCAAGAAATTAATAACCACTCACTCCCGTTTATATGCAATCAATAAATTTACACGGACAGTAGAGTGCACGTATTGACATTATCCGCGATATTTCATAAATTACTAAAAATCGCTAATAAGCTAGGCAAGAGGCATTGCTGCTGCCGTTGGCTGCTCTTATCGTTAATGTAATCGCCTCCAATTAACTCGCTCCCCGTTTATCGGCGCTAAAAGATTGGCGGGCGGCTTGCGCCGATCCGATTACTCGCATACAAACGAACAGCCCGATGTAATTACACAGGTATGCACGCATACGAAGTTTCACGCGTGCCGATATTAATATATACAGGGTGTTCCTTATACGCTTCTTTTTTTTAATGACAGATATTTTACAAATTCCGAGATTCCGTTTATCGCAGAAACATTATAAAGACTCAGTTTATCCGAGTAGCAATTTTACTCGTCTAAGTTTATTTATATATAAAAAAAGTTCCTGTAAAATGAAAAAATGCAGATTCGCGAAGTTAGCACATTTTTTCACTTTTGATTTTTTGGTATAAAAATTACGGAATTTTTTTATATTTTTGTAAGGAACTGTAGAACTATGAAAAGTGCTACTGGAACTGTAATTGTTTTTTTAAAATATATTAATAGAATGTCACGACTTCACAGATCCAATTTTATCTTCAATTTGATGACAAACTCTCCGATGAACATTGAACGATGGACTAGAGATCGGTAGTTCAAGTTACTTATCTATATTTTTTCTTATCCGCAGGGATGACTGAATCGCACAGTCGTTTAGGTTTAGCAAACCCACGGACCTGAGCTCACACACACTGCGATCATACATACACACATGCACTTACGCTCACACATATACACAGTAAATTACCGCCCCGTTCATTAACACGCCCCCACCAGACCCAGATTGGCCGTAAGAGGGGAGATCCTTCGTTGCCATTACACATCTACTCTATATTTTTTCTTCATATCGCAAACGTCTAGCAGAGAAATTCAGCATGGAATTATGAAAAATAAATATGAAACGCCTAAGTATACACACGAACTGCATGAACCGACCGCCGTGACGCGGTTACACCTCTCTCTTTCTCTCTCTCTCTCTCGCGACTGCTCGCGACTCCCGTTAACGTACGTAGAAGCCGTCGATTGTGCACAAAACAAACGAGCGAAACGAACGATGGTTTCGAATTTCCTCGGCGGCAGACGAGAAATCAACACCGTACCAGTAACGCGTGACCGGTGTATTCGCGTGTCCGCGGTGCGCCGGTCGATGATTTCTCCGCGGTCATCCGCGGAGAAGTTCTCGCCGGCGGTGCACAACACTCGGCCCGATCTCTAAGCGTCCTTAATTCCGGCCGTACCTCTCTTCATCGGATTTACCGTCGCAATATTATCCTCCCGACCGCGCGTCGCGTATCTCCTCGCCTTCGCGAGGAGCACTTGGCTGGAACTTCCTCTAATAATAGGATGCGGACTCTCATCCGCGCGATTCGACTTCGCGTCCCGTCTAGACTCGGTTACGCGGTGCTTCGGTAATTTTAGAGAAGATTTGTTCACCCTTATTTTACATCGTTCGACGTTAACAATGTTAAAAAAAATGCAGTTTAATTAAATTGTTGTGGAAGAAAAGACAAATTTATTGCGGAACCACAATTAAATTGTTGTGGAAGAAAAGACGAATATTTATTGCGGAAACACAGCACTGAAATCCGAGAGTCTTACGAAACACGCGTGTGTATAGTTATTGTTTGGAAAATAAAAGTGTAACTGTTCAGTCCCCGGCCGCCTGCCAATAAACACACGCGCGATACATTTCACACTCAAGTATACGTCGACGCGGGACGAATTTTTCACGGCGAGAAAATAACAGTATTTTATTTATGCCCTTCCGGCGTGAAGCGATTTAAGGGTTTACGACCGGACCACTTTGATCTTCGAGTTACTGTGTCTATTAGATTTCGACTCCGAGATTTCCACGCCTTAGCTTTCGCTCTTAAAATGTATTGCAGTCGTGTTCGAAATCTCCCGGAAAGCGCAGCCAAAAATAGAAAACGCTCCGGAGATGATTATTTTCACGAAATTAAAATAAAATGAATTTAAATATATTTATGAAAAAAAATTTGAAAAAGTAGGAGCTTCAACATAATTTAAACATAGTTTAATTATAAATACTCTTTGTTTTTTCACCCAATATTTTATTTAAACTGTTAAAAAACTTTTAGAAAAGAAAATAAAAGTAAAATAATTATATTCTTATAAATAATAAAAATATTGCTCATTCACATGAAAAAATTAATATGAATATGAAATTAATATGCACTTGTTCAAGAAACTTAATGAGCGTTTTACGTGAAGATATTCGGCTTTCGAGCGCTAGTAAAAAGAGGATGATCGTTGGGTAAATGCTTTCATCGATGATATCACACGCACGCTATTTGAATTCTTAATCGCGGTTGAATTGATTGAAAAGCCATCGGATGGGCAATCTCGGCGTCATAAACTGATCTTGCGGCTGGCCACCTCACACGAGGGTTACGAAAATAGCGATCGCAAGGAGGGAGGGAATGGGAGGAAGCACCTCGATTCGTTCATTGACAGAACTCCGCAACGCCCCGATGTGCCGTACATGCCTTTATGCGTGTATCGCGTTCATTGACATGTAGACTCATTGAAGAGGACGTCTCTTTGATGATGGACATAGTAGCTCCATTTGCATTCAGTTTTTAGCTCAAGAAAAATTTTATCACAGTTCATCTCTAACTTTTCTATTTTTAATGCTTTTGTATGTTGATTCAAATTCTATTAAAGCAAAACTTACTTAAAATAAAAAGTAGTAAGTTCTATCGTTATTAATAGCTCCTGATTCACATAGTTTCTTCTTTTTATTTATAGTATTCGTCTTTCGAAGTCTTCGAATAGACACTTTTGACAATGTTTATCTTTAGATAAATGTAATAGCGTGATATATGTAACATCGAGCAGAGGAGAGAGGAAGAGAGCGCGTGAGAGAGACTCTTAAAGAGGTGGCAAAGAAATGGTGTTCTATAATAAAAAGCAGCGGTCACTGAGAAAATTTTCAAGTGCCTTTGGCGCCGCGGGCTTGCCTGCATGCCAACACGTTTCTATGAATCACGATCTTGCATAGGCGCGGACATGAGCTTGCATTCGCGTTCGGCGAACGCCGGCAACAAACCCGCCGCATAAATCTGCATCGCGGATGAGAGACGGCGGCGGAGAGTTTCTTCCTTCGCGAGGGAGCGACTCGCGGCCGATAATTTCTTTACTCGGCGTATGATGCACATGATATTTCGCGACGAATTAGGGTCAATTGCACCGACGTCTCCGGTCAATTAACTCCAACGATTTCCTGTCCAAGAATATTAGCTGTGTCAATGAAGATTTAATTACTATTGTCCATGCTAATTTTGTTTCTAAGCGAAGATTCGATTGAATCAATGCGACGAAAAAAATTGACGCATTTTAAATTTCAAAAAATCTAAAAATTACGTCGAAACGTCTCGTGAGAAATTTCGATATAAAAAGGGAGACGTAAAAACGTGTGATTAATAAAAAATAACACCTGACACAACATTTCAGCGGTGACAAGATAAATTTATCGGGCGTTATCGAACGTCCCCGTTTCCGCGCGTGTTAAGAAAGATTGAGAAACACATCTCCGTGTTTGTCCGCGTGTCTGTTGCCGGCGGCTAAAGACAGCGCTACCGTTAACTGGCTGATATCCAAAGTTCGGGAAAGCACGCGGGGGAAAGAAGACAAGTGCACCGCCGCGAACTCGCCGGAGCGAGCGGATCCCTCGTTCCGGAAACCGATCACGTGCGATAATGTGCACGTTCTGCAGCGGTTCTGCTGGAAAATCACGCGCGAACTAGAAAAGGGGAAGAGCAAAGAACGTTATGCGCATCACGTAGCCGCGGCGACAAGTGCAAGGACCGCGCGCGTGTGCTCGCCGTGCCGTTGCACCCCGAGATTCCAGAGTGCCTCCTTTTGTGGCTCTCATCTGTTCCCAGAGGTGCACCCGGAAATGCGCCAGCACTCCGAGATGTGCATTCCGAGGCGCACCGGTCGTCTTACGGCGAAAAGGGATGTATTATTCTAAAGGTAAAACCTGAGACGGGGTTGCCAAAAATAACGTCCGTGAACGTGCAGACGTCACGCACAAGTGACATATCATCTTAAACCCACAGATTTATCTTTCAAGACCAACAATAGTACAATTCGTTACACGAAAAAGTAAATTGAATACAAGTTCTTTTCGAAAAATACGAAATACATGATAATTGAATGAATAAATAAATAAACTTATTTATGCCAAGAAATATACTGAAGTGACAATAAGAATAAATGTTTCTCCAAAAGATAAGATATCATGTGTAAAAATGGAGAGTGAATCGAATACATTCATACGGTATCTCTGTATAATTTATATTTTTGAATCTCGATATAAAGAGATTGGAAAAATGTGTTCTCGTTTCAGAAAATAATATTCCCTATATTCACTGTTATCGCTTTCATTCCGAGATTGCAACAATTCTTGGACAATTGCACAAATCTTGAAACACCGTGGTACAATGAGATAATGAAGTGTAGCAAATGAGATAAAGCTAACAAGCACTGCCCTGCTAATATTTGATTTGAGATAGCACAAATCAAGATTTACGCGAACGCTACACGTATTTTTAAATCGAGAGGTTCAGTTACATCGATTCTAAGAGATACCGAAATAATCGCTCAATTGAAAAATTCGATTACATTTAATCTTCGTGCAATGACAAATGTTGTAGCATCTTCATTGGTTATCTGAAGTATATTTTTATCGTATATTTTATTTTAATAACTTTAAAGCATTGATAGAATCTCTAATATCGCTAATTTGAAAAAAAAAATAAGAAAACTCCATCCTTTTAATTCATTAAATTGATATTAAACTTTAATTTAATTTACAGATTTATGAATCAAAATAATTATTTTAATTGATAAATTCAATATTCTTCATCAATTTTAATGCAATAATTTCAGCTAAAGTTAATGTAGCAAAGATAAAAAATTGCGTAAGATTGCTTTTAATCTTAATAGACTTAAAAAAATTTTAAAAAATACAGAGTCAGCAAATGTTTGCACGGTCACCTGCGATCTTCTCTCAGGTGCACCAAGCAATCTCCGATAAGTGATTTCTGGCGAACGTGCCGCGTCAAGTAGTTGTAAAAACTGGTGAAAGGTATCCCAAATATTTCATATTGCTCAGATACCTATTCGACACCTGAGCAAACTTTTCTCACACAGTAAGTATGCTTGAAAACGCTGTCTAACCTATTTTGAAATCAAATCATGCGAGGAGAACGACAAGTTATATAATAAATTCGTAAAATATCAAAGTAAAAAAATTGATACACTAGGCACATTCTTTCGAAAAATCTCAAAGATTAGATCGAGAAAGCGTTTCCCCTAAAATATTTCAACAGAGATTAGATAACAGTTACCCAAGATAGTTTTATGAAATCGGAATTTGTCCTCAAGACCGTTCGGGTAATTGCCGGTTATGGAATCACGAGTATCGAGCACGCGCGCGCGTCTTCTAACCTCGGACTTAAAGCACCTATTATTTCACACGGACGACTGAGTGTCCATGTGTGGGCGACAATAACTTACGTGCTTTACTTTCACCCTCGGAAATCGCGTCGTTGAAGGTCTTATTAACTCCAGCACCCACTACGTTACGCGCGCCGCGCGACGGATAATCCGTTTCCTTTATCTGTGCCAATCGCACTGGCGGCGGTCACGCGACGAACGATCGCCGATTATTTCCACGTGAACTTCCGCCAATTAATTCCGCGTAACGCGCTCAAACCTGATTGCACAAAATATAGTCCCTCTCTTCATTCGGAAAAATCCGTTCCGTCGCACAATTATAGTGTCACTGGCGCGTGACATGATGAAAATTGCGAAGCGAACGTCGTCTCCGCGTTTCGCGGAACGAAGACCATCGAGTGGATTTGAATCATCCTTCTAATTTACAAGCATCTGCCGAAAGATAAGCTAATGAACGATCGCCGAGCAGATAAACGGCGATTAAAGCACTCGAGATCTAAATCATCGTCGAGCGGTATCGAAATTAACATCGACGCCTTATTAATGCGTCAAAAATCACTATCGACACGTACCGAGAAGCACCTGAATCACCCGCGATGCGCGACAAAGGTACTCGAAACACCCTCGTGCACGTCACACATGTGCGATAAGAGATACGACGAACAATAGTTACTGCACTCTTTATCGTCTTGCAGCTTTTCAACTATATATGATAAAAATTCACTGCGTGACGCGCGAAAAGAATGCGCGATGTCGCATCGCGGCATAGACAGAACTGAAGCAGTCTTCGCCGTGCGAGCAACAGGTAGACACTGGCAGCGAGAGGATAGGAATGGAGCGAGCGTGCGCCCCGCTCAGATGAACGGATCGAAATGCCGTGAGTTGTCGGTCGTTAAGCCGGCGTGCACACCGGCTAGAAGAAGACGAGACGAGAGTGTCGCGATAACCGCATATCGTATCGAGTGCATTCCTATCTGTCGTCCACGGAATAATCGTGTCGTATAACGCAACACCATTGACGCATCTACGAGCGGTTCGGCCCGGAAATTAGAGAGGCGTGGCGGTATTGCGCTGCTAATGCGAAATTCGACGATAAAACGCGACAGATATTATCGTTAATGAATGACCGCGATGGAATTAGCATGGAAATCGGTAAAGCACTTTCGTTGAAAGATTCTTTAATAAGTATACGAAATATGCAAATTGCTGGGCCGGTTACTTAATTCTTGCCGTTTCGACACCCGTTTGCCGACACCCAAACTGCAGGAACGAAATCAACGATCTGATATTGATTATAAATGTGGTATAAAATATAGATATGTAATAACTGCATAGCACGTAGTTATTAAATAATTATTTTCTACAAACAAGTATCGCGAACAGATGGTTTTTGCATAATTATTGATCGCATCATGTAATAAGGTTTTTCTACAAATTTCTGCGGTTTGGAATTAACTCCGCCGGCTGTACCAGATGTACGGTATGAATCTCGTTATCTCTAAGCGACTGTGATTAAATGCATAGAGTGCAAGGCGTAAGCGGAAAAGGCGTATTGAGAGAGTTCTACGTGATATGGAGATTGAAGTTGACGATAATTGCGTAATGTGTCTACAATACAGTTACGTCGATCATGATTAATAGCTCGGGTATTAAAACGTTACATCGATATATCACGGCCCAATGCATTGACAGACAGGACATCGATTCTTTGATAATCCTCGAGGAAATCTGCGAAATAATCCGCCGCTTATGCATCGTAACGACGAATTTTAGCGGTAACTTGCGCGGCGTGCACAATATTCAAATGTAACGTAATCTGGTGTTGGTATGCGCAGATTTGATCTTGTCATAATAAAGATAGAGTGGCGTAAATTAGCTACGAAGGAAATTATTCATTTTACACGATCGATCACCTGCACTAATAAATAAAAAGTAAAAACTCGCAGGCTATTGACACGTGTCTGATGCTAGAGTGTCAGGATTAAAATGAGTTTTCTAGTCCTTCTTAATCTTCTAAATCCTTCTACCACACATCGCACTTTGACGATTGACAGAAATGTGATAAGTTCCTTTTCTTTTTTCTTTTGGCATTGATTTAGTCTCAGCTTTAGAACTCTCTGTTTTATAATTCTTTTGTTGTTCAATCAAAGATATCGTCAAATCCCACGGACGTATTTTTACAAATCTTAAATCTCATCGCTTCTTATTTTAAAATTAAATATCCTGTAGATTTTGTGTCCCTTTTGCCCGAAAATTCCCAGGCGCTTGAAGAATCACTGCACAGTGTCACAAGTGTTCGATACTTTTTTTCTAACTAGCGTTCTAATTTAGTGGCCATCGACTAGTAAAAGAAAAGCATTGTATATAATGACTATTTTATACAATGACTCGCTTTGCAATCGGTGTGAACGTCGCTGCACAGTGTGTTCACGGGAGGTGGGGGCTCAATCGTCGCAATGAATTACAACGAGCCAGTCACTGAGAATGACTCACCCGAGTACTCTAGCCGCCGCCGCCGCCGCCGCCGTTGCTGCTGCAGCAGCAGCGCGTCACGAGCCGATAAAAGGCACTCTCAGGCTCTCCTTGCTCTGGAAAGAGGAATTCGAACCGCTCGGGAAGTGAATAACACGAGCCGAGTCATTAGGCGGATGCCCGGAATCCCGTTGAGCCCTCCTGCGTCTGCCCGCAAAAGAGAGGAGGTGCGACCATGAATTATGAATCATCGAAATACCATATCGAAATGAACACGCTAACGCAAATTCCGAGTAACATCGGGGACCTAACGGTATCCTCAGGATGCGGGAAGAGTAAGAGCGTTTGTTCGCGGATTAGTCGGACGATTATTGCGATGACGAAGGCACTTGCGTTAAGTAGCGGACTCGGCTGTGGAATGATAGATAAGCTAATATCTCCGTTCGTCACTCTCGAAAAGTATTTTAAAAGGAAAATTTTTCATTGGATAATGGAAAAGATCGTAATCGCCTCATTATTCGTGTGATAACAGCGAAGAATCTCGGAAACATCATTAGTGATAAGTAATTGTTTATCGGAATTAGGATAAGCGCGTTTATACATATTGACGATAATTATATAGAATGGAATTTTAGTTTCTAACAAAACATATATTGAAATATTTTATGTTGAATGTGATCGATATAGTACAAAGAAAAAGAACTGTTACTTTATTGGATTTTCTAATAAAAAGAAACGTAATACTTTCAAAATTTTACTACAAAAATGTATAAATTTGCGTTTTTAACTCTCTTTACACAACTTCGTGTGTGTATTTCATTTAATATTAATATCTTAGAAATCTCACATCCTCGAAATAAAACATCCTTACAAGTCGACATACGTGATGGCGAGAAATGTCCAGCGCGTAAACGGTATTCGCTAATTGGCAGCCGAAGTCTTTATTGACACAACAATTCGTAAACAGCGCGATTATTTATTTGTTCAGCACGACGCGACATTAATTACGTTAGAAACGCACTGGTATATTTAGCGGCGGCCGGTGTGCATATATCGCGTGCATACAAACATGGGATTTTCCGATGAAGCTGTATGCAGCGCGCGAATTTCTCGCCGCTTGCGCTACGAATATTTGATGTCGGAGCTCTTATACAGCCGAGGACACGTGGTGTCGTAAGAGAATGCGCCTTCTCGTTTGCCATGCAACGTACTCGCGATCGAAGAAGTTGTCCAACTCGAAGAAATTCTCCTCAAATTGGACGGCTTTTATGCGTGACGATAATTCGCCACGTGAAATTGCAGAATGAAACTCGACTCGCCTAAAGCTGAATTTGGATGCAAATTTATTTTAATTTTATAAATGTATTTTTAACCCCGCGTAAATGTTTTCTATATATTGCACAGAATATATTATTTTATAATAAATTCTGTCTCGGATTAAAAAATGATAAACTTTGCACATGATTTCGTTTATTCGCCGAGCAAGCTCATCGCGCTTCAAATCGAGCTTTCTTATTTTCCATGCTCGTAAATTCTTAAACTCGTCAGATCGATGCGAGCGGACGCATCGAGTATGTAGCACTTAGCTCGATACCTTCTGTACCTTTCACTGACTCCGATAAGGAATTATATTTAAACCAACGACACGTAACGCCGCGGCCGCGAGAAATGAAGAAATCGCCACTGTGGTTTTATTGTGATTTATCCGCGTTCGCGGAATGCAACATCGTAATTGCGTCACAGAAGGACACGTGCTTGTCTCTCCGACACTTTCTTGCGAGATTTATTTAATTTTGCAGCGCGGAGAATGTACTTTCAAGGCTTACGTATTGGACTACAAGTTATCATCTCGTTTCTCATTTTCGCAACAATTATGCGAGAATTTTTGCAAAAGCAATAATTTGCTCTATATTTGCAGAGTAATGCTTCTATTATTCTTAATGACTAAGCAAGAAAAAAAAATAGCCGAGCGACGGAACCAAACAAAGAATCGGACTATGCTTTCGTATTCACGATCCACGAATGCCCGATGTCTGAAACTTTCTCAGTGCGGAATGAAAATGCGCGGCGCCACTTAAGGCACGTGAGGCATTCTGCATCATGTACTCATCTATATGGGGTGCTCAAAAGAAACACCGAAATTTCGGTATTAATCTTTTATCAAAAACAAAAATTAAAAAAAAAATATACGCGCGAAAAAATTTGGCAAAAATATCGTACTTATTAACACACAAATATTTTTGTTCTAATAATCTAAAATCAACTAGAGCCAAATAAATAATATTAAATATTTTGACAACCAAGAACAAGACTGGAATAAAAAATCTGTTAATGCTTTTTGATTTAATTAATTGAAAAAACTTCCGTTCTGTTTATGATTTAGAAACTTTCATATTTGACAATTCCTTTCATTAAGAACCAATCAATCTTGAAGTATGAATCAAATTATGAGTAAATATGGGTAAAGATCGTCCTTATTGTTTTTCGAACACCCCGCATATGCGGCTCACGCGCTAATGAGGCGCCTAACATCACACACACATACCACGTGGAGAGATAAAATAATTATTAATCACAGCCGAGAATCGCACCGGTTGTTAACATCATGAAAGTGCATTTCTGCGAATCGGTTTCAGCTTCCTCGTCAGAGATAACCGCTCTGTTAACCCACTGCCCGCAGCTAATCGACAATGAATCACGATCATCATCAAAGCCCCCGACCAAACCCAGATACATATTAAACAGATAGATACACTAGAAGTATACTCGATAAACATTGGATTAGCGCACCGGACGGCCATTGACTACGCATGCCAGATAATTCGATGATATCGTTCCGAGGAAGTTATGGCGTGGCCGGCGAGATCGTTTCTCCATCGAAACGATACCGCGCGCCGCGGTATCCTTTCCCGCATCGGAAAACTTTCTCGAGATGCAGCGATCGCTCTCGCTCGCTCGCTCGCTCGCTCGCGAGCGCAGTGTGCGTACGACGCATTCGCAGAAAGTCTATATATAGAGGCGCCGCTAATACAAGCCCGAGTAAAGTTAAGATCAGGCCCTGGGAGCCGAGTTCGTAAGTAATTGCGGGCGTAAAATCCGGTTCGCGCGGCCAGCATTGCGCGAATACGCGTGTTATTATCGGCGTCCGATCGGAAACTGACCGGATAGGAGCTTTCATAAGTGCGCGTACGCACGCACGCACGAAATTGTCGTCCTGCAGGCAGGTATGCCGACCGGATTGCGTGTCCTGGATACACGCTGATGACCAGGCTACTCCAGAAACTTGTCGCGATTCAACGGAAAAAGAAGATCACGGATTTTCGGCCGGTCGCACGTGACATATAAGTATCGCGATAGCCAAGTTTCATCTCTTTGATTGATGATGAACATTTTTGAAAAATATCTCTGCGTTTGAAGGAGTAAAATTTTATTTAAATCTAATAACGCTGTATGCTATTGATATCTCTCAGAAACTAAGAATAAAAGATTAATTAAAATTTGCTTAGATGTATGAATTTTAAATAAAGTGTTTGTAAAATACAAGTAGATCGAGAAATTTGCAGGAATGCGAAGGAATGCAGGAATAATTTCAATCGTATAATTTTATTATCGTTATTCTATTATTGATATTCGTCATCTAATATTGCTGAGTGACGCGATTCTATTTCTAGAAAGAAACAGTCAAGTGCAATGCGATAAATTGGAGGTCGGGAACAGCATTGCTTAAGGAGCAGTGACGTTGGTAAGAAGATAAGAGAATACCAAGGTCGACGATATCATGCTTTGATTCACGCACGAGAAGAAGGTATCAAGTTTCCGTAAACAGATATGTATACACCTAACGGGGAAGTTATGCCACACAAATATTCCCATCATGGTTATTGAACCGCTGTACAAATACTGCGACAGCCATCGACGTGTAAAGACCCTTCATTCCATCCCCATAAGATCTTTCAACACTTTAACAAGGATCTAAAGACCAAAATTTAACACCACTGAAATCGCATCTCTAGATGTGTTTATAGACTCTTTATAAAACTTTAATATACTAATATTTTACCCTCGAGAATAAATTGAAGAGTAACAGTTTATCACCGTGAAACACATAAAATAGACATAAAGAAGACAACAGCTGCATTTTTTGACAGAGAACACGTGACTTATATTTATCAAATGATCAAATCTTTCGTTAATTGGCTCTTTGAAAGCATCGTCGACTTCCCGTGGATCCTGTAAAAGGTTAACGAGCGAGAAGATCATGTTTCCTATCCAGCTTTTGGATTAAGTGAGTAGACACCGAGAATATATCGAGAATAAACTACTTCTCGCGATAGAAACGCGCGCGCCTGTTCTAAACGATGCTGTTTCCGTTTCTAGTCGTACAAAAAAAAAAACTCGCTCGCGGGAACGGTTTGGACATTATAAACCTATCATTAGAACTCGCGTATCGGGAGCACTCGAGGAGAAAAGCACTCTTCGAGTCGCGCGCTAAAAATATACGGCAAATAAATCTTGATCGTGGATCCGAAACGGGGCCCATCCTCGCCGTGCATCGGCTGTACGCAGCGTGACCTCGCCGCAATTTGATCGTCAATTAACCCTTGTGCTATCAAGAGGGGTCTGCCCGGACCCCGATAGAGTGAGGTTTCATTCAGTAAGTTTTTTAGCACTCGAGTGCCCGTCATTTTTTTTTTACTTTACGCAAATAGAATCGTAAGACAGATTTGGCTATCCACATTCCAACGAATAGCATCGTAAATATTATTTTGGGCGAGCAATAAAAGTCTTTCGATCAAATAAAATCAATCATAATGTCACGAAGCTAATATATTGAATAAACATGTCTTAATCTTGCATTGAGAGTTTATCATTATTTGAAATTCATGCAAATATATGTGAATTTAGAAGGCGTTATATAACTTGATATTATGCAGAACGCGTGCTGCATTATATAAATTGAGCACGTTAGGAAATAACACGTTGATCAGATCTCGATGATAAACAGGGACTCCTCCCCTCCGGAAAACGGAATTCACTGCGTAACGCGACACACGTCGACGATCCGAAGAAAGAAAAGTGCACGCGGAATAATGCGTGCGGTAGGAGATGGCGCCAATCCGCGTTCTCCCGCGCCGCGCCTCGTCGCCGTCGTGGCTCTCGGTCAACGGAATAGCTAGAATACTGAAACTTTTATTCTCTTACGAGTTCCCTTCTCTTTAATAACAAAATCAATATAAAAATAATGATTAATAACAGCATATTTTTTTCAGATATATGAAATGGCTTGCTTTCAAAACCGATCAATTTTTTACGTTCAGCACTATTTGTACAGTTCGTTTTATGAACAAATAAATATCCTGGGAAATATTTAAGATTAGAATTTTCATCGACATCAAATGGATTTCATCGTTTATTAATACGATGATTTATGTTTTAGGTAAGTCAAATCGTCAATCTCTCATTGCTTCAACTTAATAATTGGAGATTCAAGTAGAATGTGGCACACAGTCAGCGTCCGAATTCCTTTCTAAATTGTTACTAATTAAACGCACAAGAATTTTTAATTAGATTTTCATTGGAAAGCTATTTTTTAAGGTTTTTTTAAAACGAAGAAAATTAAAAATTTTTAGATTCCATCGCGAGTATAAGTGACTACGCGCCTGCTATCGGGTGTATTAGTATACGAAGAATACCTCACACCGCAGAAAGAGGAAGAGCATGCAAGTTACATGTCGAGAGGAATGGTGAGGGATAGAGAAAGAAAGTCGGCTTGTGTCGGATGTCTGCTCGTCAGATCGTTTTTCTCCGAGGAGCGGCGCACGCATGGCGCCTCCGCATGGGATCGGCCGACCGGATCGCCGCCGATGTTGTTGCATCGGCGAAGAAAAAAAACATCACCGGGGAAAATATCGAGGCAGTAAGCTTGAAAACGTTTCATTTAAGAATTGAAAAAAAAATCACTCGGTTGGACCAAGAAGAAAAACAGACCAAGAGTGAAAATAGAAGTTACGATCGGAACATTTGTTTACAATTTTGCTATAAATTCAACGAACATCTGGAAATTACAGACACCTGCAAATTTTTTGCTCTCCTCCCCTCATTTGTATAAAGATAATTCGTTTATACAATATTTATCACTCTATTCAGCGTCTATATTTAAATCAATCAAAACTTACTAATTTGCTCCTCAATCTACTTTATCTGGAAAAATAGAATCCACTTTATCTTACAACAAAAAGTAGAGAAATTACAGTTTGGCTTTTTTGTCCGCCGATTGGAAGCACTCTCTATCGTTCCTTTCTGAGGAACAAAAACTGAAAAAAAAAACATTGATAAATTTGCTTGGGATAAAGCAAGAAGAGAATGACGCCGTTACTTTCTTCCTCGTGAGAAATATTTAGCTCGGACGTAATACCAGTTTATACGTAAAAATAAGTCGAATCAGTAGAATTGCACGTGCGCCTGGTTTCCAAAAAAGGATTCAAAGGTACGACGATAACCCGCCCGTTAACCCACAAATTTGAAAGCCGGTCACCTCTTTTCGTCTGACCTCACGTAATGCATACAAATGTGATAAAATGAAGATCAATTGTCGGTTATCAAACTCCTTTAAGAGAATAAAGGATATAGAAAACTCTTAATATTATATTATACAATAAAACTCCAATAAAAAATCTTTATGTCAAATCAAATCCTCCATCGCTTTCTTCGGCTTATTTGATAATCAAATATTTTCTCCTCCATAAACATATTTTAACTTTAATCTTGCATTATCCGTGATTTCCTCGATATTTCCTCGATTATTTTTGATATAATACAAAGCCAAAAAGCCGAATGACAGATTCAATTTTAACTTTGAAAATTTATTTAATATAACGGAATCGGCGCGACACGAACAAGCGTACAACGGGAAACGTAAAGCCAGCTGATCGCCGAGGAAATCAGCTTAAAGCAATTCCAGCTCCTGAGTAATTCGATCGGCTCATTACGTCGAGGTCCACGTCCTCTTTAGTACTCTCTCCGTAATATTTCCCCGTGTAAAAAAAAAGAGCGATGAAAGTGATTTCTCGCACTGAAATCGCGGCGTGAATAATTAGTGCCTCCTGAACTCTTTTCTTCTTTCCCGCGAATTGATGCGCGCGCGTTTTCACTGCGATGCGATCGACCTGTCGTGCGTGATCGGGGTCAGCTCTGGACCCGAGGAAAAGTCGCGCATATATTTGTCCGCAGAATAGAGGGAATTTTTCACACAACGCCCGACAAAAAATAATTTCTGATTTAAAAGCGATTATTGGAGCTGCGATTTTTTACTACGCAGAACTCGCATTATTTGATTTCTACGATGGCGAGTCAATATACCGAGTTGGACGGCTTCAGACGCACAATCCCTAGCTTTGTTTGTACAGCTTTTGCGGCCGTGAGTACTAAATGCATTTATGTGGCGCATGTAATTAACGTAGACAATGCAGGCGTTATCGCAATAAATTTACAAGTTCCCTCGAGCGGTGCGATTAGATCGCCGCGCGCCGCCGTCTCTCGCGAGCAAGATTAAAGACGGCGACCGCGATTGGCGACGGTCGCGGTTTTCTCGAAAACTAGGTTGGGCGAAAATCGCGCAATTCAATTGTTGCGCGACATTGACGAATCCAATTAGGAATCTAATATATACGCGGACAATTACCGCGTTGCGATAGTCGCGCGCGCGAAATTACGCCTGCTTTCTAATTACGAAAACGGTCGCGTGCGCCGGGAACGTTATTGCGATATTTTCACCGTTTATTAATCGTGAATCGACTCACCCGGAGAACCCGCGCCGATCGCCCGCCAAACATTCGCGCGATTTTTGCGCAATTAGATATATAGAGCTGCGATGAAAGACTCGGCTATAAATAGATAACTGTTGGTAGTTTAATACCGCGCGCATTCGGTTTTATCGCACGAGCGAAATACAGTTGCAACTGGTTTGCCGGAAGCAAAAAGATTATCCTTTTGGTTACTTTCTCGGATAAAAGAAAATGTTCCATTTACTATCGCGAATTTATAATAAATTTAGAATGCCCTCGATATAAAATGATTTTTCTGCAAACGTGAAGATATAATCGTCGTTATTGCTATCTTTATAGTAGATAAAATAGAATCAAAAAGCTATTTATATATATATATCTAACTACGAAATAAATTTTATGCCACACATATTTATAAGTATAATTTTCACGAGATAAAGTGACGGAAAGTATCGATAATCTTGTATAATTTAACAAATTCAATCGTGAAATCATATACTGCTAGGAACTTCTTGCTCTCTTTATAGAACCAATCAACGTGAATTTAAATCTAAAACTTAAAACAAGGCAATTTTTACAAGCAGCATTTTATAATAATAATAAATATATAATCTTATTATAATAATAAATTTGTTTCAATTTATTGCTGACGGACTGGACAGTAATATTTCTTAATTATAAAATTAACAATTATTCTTTTTACTGACTTTATGATCGATTGTTAATTGAGTAGTTATCTTGTTTCAAAAGTAAATTTATATTATTGTCGCATCGCGCCGGTGAAAAGCCGTTTTTCACGGTCGGATTTTCACGCACGTGCCTCTAATTTTACGCGCATTTCCTGTGAGATAGAAAGATAGACACGGTGTGACGGCCAGTTTTTCATGGCGCTATAACGCTTATGAGGTCGAGCACATCGAACATTCTCCTTGTCTTACATACATACGTGCCTAAGAAACAATGACGGCTAATTGTCGCAATTAGAACACCGAGTTTACCGTACGAATCAACAACGCAGCTGTTCGAGCGTTGGCAATTTTCGACGGGTTGCAATTAATCGCGTCACGACACCCCGCGAAAGACGGCAGCGTGGAAATCGCTCAGCTGTTAAAAAAAAAACATACTAACATATCACGCAAAACTCCTAAAGGATAAATTAATCATACGAACAAAACTATTACACGTTGCGATAATTGTAAAAATAATTCGAATTTTCAAACCGATAGGCGATTGTGATAGCCGAACATATTTTTTCTCTTTCATATTAATCTGGTTATAGATTTTTAATTGCAGTGCTAAAATATATTAATAGGAGGAATAAAATTTAATAGCTTTCTATTTTCATATTCGAAGGTATCCAACATGCATTAAAATGTAGATATTAAACAATATGGATACGCATGTCGCGAATGATTATTCGATCGACCAAAACTACCCTGCATAATGTTTTTTTTCTGTAACGCTAGTAGATAAACCTATTTATGGCCTATTTATCGCGTATCATCAGTCGTCGGGATAAATCGAACGTGAAGTATCAGATTCGATGGCGAGACATTGATATTATTGCGCCTGACACCTCGTATACTACGTACAATTATCTTATCTCGCAAGGATGTACTGCGATAGCGCGAGTTCGTTTACAACGATCGATAAATGTATTGGCATGTGTTGCATCTCCTTCAATTTTGTCTTCTGATTAACTATATTGATATCTCGAAAATAACTGTCATGAAGTGTCAGATTAAAAAAAAAACATTAGATATCGATACAAAACATACCAATTTCTTCGAACGCTTGATTGAAAACAGAAAAAACAAGACGATACAAAGTGAAAAAAGTACTGATAATTACATAAAAATTGTCAATTTAAAATTACACGTGTAAACATTATAAATATAAATATCAAATATATATATAGTGTTTTTCTAATCCGTCTCGTGCATTGTTCCTCAAAACGATCGTTCATGCGCATTATTTTTCTTCACCGCTCTCGTCTCGAGATAATCGATTCTTATCCTCCGACAATAGATCGCGTTGCACCGACTGACTGCGAGACATTAGCTAATCCAACATCGACATACGTTTATGGCGGTGAAGCAGTCGTTTCACAAAGAACATTCCATTCTGTCTTACGTTGCTCGCGTTATCTTTGTCCCGCACAATGGCTACAATCGTCAAAACAAAAAGAATCGATCGACCTTTCGGTCAAAATATCAATGAACTCCGAAATATTCTTATTAATATTCATATATGCAAAATGATGCGCACAATATAAATTTAATTAATTTAATTGACTAATCTTAATTGCAGAGAATTGAAGAGCTAATTCTTTGACAAGCGATTATTCGTATTAATATATAAAATAATTAAACGTTTTAATTGTATGAATCTCAAACAGCATTCAAATGTTGTGAGATTTTTATACTTTACATTTTAACATTTGAACGGTATGCAAATTCTTTTGGTATCATGACCGAATCTGCAAGTGAATATGATTTGGGACACTTGAAAACTGATTTGACACCGCATTATTGTCCCAAAAGACTTTGAATTTCGTATGAAGCTTTGACTGCACTTCGTCCATTAAAGCTTGCAACTCGAGCGACCTAAATGCGAGAGCCTGAGATAGCCGAGGGTTAAACCCGGCGGTACTGAGAATCGTGTAATATATGATGACACGCGTAACAAGACTATCATCGGCAAAGACGCTTTTTGCGCGACGCGCTATGAATATTGAACAAGGACTCGCGCGTCCGTAATAATAAAGGGGCGTCTGTATACGATATTATATAGCGGAAGAGCGAAATACATCGCATCGAGATAGACCTCGAGATATCGCCCACGATATCTCCGAAACCATCTGATGATCGCGATTTATTAATGAAGCTTGATTTGCATACTCCCTTCACAGCGACAAGCAATGACTATAATTCGCGCCGACCAATAACTGATATCTAACTGATATCAAAGGGAATAACGATTAGTGGAGGAAAGAAGCAGAAGACTGATCGAATCCCGATCGGCAATCGATAAAATAAAAAATCGAGATAAACACATAAATTACAGCAACGTTTTATTAAAGCACGCGGATTATTTCTGGACATGATAATTCAAGTAATAACTTTGGTAACTTTTGTTGCAAAATAAAATAAAATTGAATATCTAATAATTGATAAACCGAAATAAACAAATTCAAGGCGACAATTCGGAAAACTGTAATTAATATAACAATATTGTGATATAATTTTTGAAGTGGCTCCTAGAAATAGTGGAAAATTGTTCTGCTTTATCACATTTTTTTAAGAAAATATAGATGACAACTTTCTTTTTTGCTCAAGTTTCAGGATGTGTCCCGAATAAATACTTAATGCGGTTTCCGCGCGTTAGGAGGATATTTTATCTCGCGATGTGCCGCGCCACGCGATGCGGTTGAGGATTTCACGGCGGCACTTTTCCGCGCAGTGAGGCTGCGAGGAGCAGAACCGGTCTAGAACGAGTCCACGACGACAACGCGATGAGTGTCGGCGTCGGCGTCGCTGTCAGATTTGCGCGATTAGTCGTAATTTAGACGACTGTAAAACAGTGGGACAATGGTCGCATTCGCGTTAAAATCGCCGAACATAATTCGCAATAACGGGCCTGATGGGAAATAATTGTCTTCCGAGCGAGTCCAGCGATTTACAATACTTCAGATATATTTTATTATGTTCTTAGCTGATATCTGGTGACAGTTTTCTGAGATATGTAAGGTGATTATTTTGGTGCATGAGTCGGCAAGCCTGCTCGCTGTCATTACACCCACGATGTCGCGCGACGTCGTAATAAGAGCGTAACCGTACGAGCGCGCCTCATGGCCTCTCCAACAAGCTTTT